CCAGAGTTTTTGTTGTTGTTGTAGATTCCAGAGAGTTTGTCTTTCTGTGTCTGACTTGATTCACTTATCATAATGCCTTTGAGATCCATCTATAAAGTAAAAGGAGCAAGATTTCTATTTTTTTTAATGGCTGACAATTCTGTTGTACATAATTTCACAACATATATTAAATCATCACATTGCACACCTTAAAAAACAACAAAAAACTTGGTTAATCATACCTTAATAAAGTTGGAGGGGGGGAAAATTTAAACTAATTCACAAAAACAAATGAAAGCAATTGTCTGGTAAGAGATTGGGCAGTGAGCAGTGAGTTAGGCTCCTGTTTAGCACACAGCCCTCCTCATTCTATTTTATAAGGTCCCAAATCTAATGTCTGCTCCTTTTCTGTTAACCTAAAGTGATACCTGCCAGTTCACAAACACTGCTGTGGATTCAGAGCTACAGATAAGCTTTCATATTGCCTCATTCTTAAATATGAATGAGTAACCAAAAACCTTCAGAGATAGAAGTGTGCAAGATTAAAAGAAAAATAAATTATTCCCTAGGATTTGGTTCAGGAAAAAAATTTAATTTTGAGTGAAATAAGTGCATATTTGTAATCACAGAATATGAAAGAAGCAGGGTCTCAATGGCATCTCAGTACCAAGTTCATAGCAGCAATGCTCTCAATAGGCAAAAGGTAGAAGCAACCTCAGTCTTCATTGACAAATAGATAAATGGATTTTAAAAAAGGAAATTCTGACACATTCTACAACATGGACATAACTTGAGAACATTGTACTAAGTGCATAAGTATACAATAGAGTGGTGAAGGCCTGTGTTAACCATGACCCAGCCACAATAATGGTTATTTTACCAACGGTCAGCAAATTATGACCCAAGGGTCAAGTCCTGTTTTTATAAAGGAATTTTTATTGGAGTACAGTCATATCATTTCTTTTTCCCACTTCACATTACATTATACCATTACACAGTACATTCCTTTCCATGTTACAATGGCAGAGTTGAGTCATGGCAACAAAGATGGCATCCCACTGTCACATCTGGCCCTTTGTAGTAAGAATATGCTAAGTCCTGACTTACTCCTTCATAACCAACAGACCCCCACTCCCATTCACCCGCCTGCCAACCCCACTTATTTTGAAGCAAATAATAATCATGTGAAGTGATTGGCAAATATTTCAGTATGTATTGTTAAACTGTAATGTCATTGCCATCTGGAAAAAGAGATTTAACAATAATTTCTTAATATAATAAATAACAAATTAGTGTCAGATTTCCAGTTACTTCCAGGTCATAAATATTTTCAGGTTTTTTTTTTCTTTCCTTTTCATTTTGTCTGACTCAGTATTCAAATAAGTTCCATTTGTGGTTACAGGATGACATGCTTCTAAAGTCCCTTTTAATCTATTGGCTTCCCCTGCATGTCACACTCTCCCTTTTTTTTTTTGCTTCTTACAACTGATTTTCTTTTGAAGATGCCAGGTTGTCCTATGGAGTTTTCCCACTGTCTGGATCCTGCCAGTTGCATCCCTGTGGTGATCTCCCATGGCACAGATTGGGGAACACAGTAAATACTTTTGAATTATGAAAGAATTTGGTTTAGCTTATTCTTTAAAAGAAGTTTAAAACATCACATATAAATTTGTTAATCTATCATATGCTATCATTTGAAAATTGAGTAATAGTTTAAATTCAGGCTTTTTGTTTTATTTTTTTTAATTTTAAATTTAAAATTTTTTTTTAAAGATTTATTTATTTATGCACACAAGAGCTAGGGTACAGGCCAGACATGGGGGTTGGGGGGAGTGGTGAGGGTTCACCAGAGACAGTGGGGAACAGAACAGGCAGATTGCCTGAAATACACTGCTCAGGGGAGCAGCAGGCGAGCCAGGAGAGGTCTGCCGCGCCATTTGGGTTGCTCCCTGGCCTGCCGGAGATAGAACTCGTGCTGCAGAGGCTGTGGACAGCTTCATAGGTTGCATCTTAAATCCCTGCACCACCAGGGAGGCAATAAATTCAGGCTTTTTGTAATCCAGAGAAGGCTAAAGGTAAGTGTGTGTGTGTGTGTGTGTGTGTGTGTGTGTGTGTGCGCGCGCATGCGTGTGTATGTATGTGTATGTATGTGTTTGTACAGTGGCTGTACAAAAGGGGCCAGGCCTATACAATTTTATGTAGTAATGGATACATACATCCTTTCTGAAAGATTTGCTTGCTCCAATGTTAAACATGTCTCTGTCACTATTATTTTCTGCATATACATGTGTATGTGCATTTTTATGCATATGTTATTAGATCATACAGCATAGTTTTACAGTCTGAATTTTCATTTTGCAATAGATCTTGAATATTTTCCTGTAAAATGTTTTCACTGTGCTGTCCAGTACCATATTTGAGGTCTTGAAATTTGACTAATTTGACTTGAGATGTGTTGAATGTGAAATATACACACCAAATTTGAAAATCTTAGTGTGAAAAGGAATGTACCTCACTAATAATTTTCCTATTGATTACATGTTGAACTAATAATACTTTGGCTAAATTAAACAATGCATTATTAAATGACTATCACTTTTTTAAATGTGATAACTAGGAAATGTTAAATTGCTCTTATGACTTTGTTAACATTGCAAACCACTAGGCTAATGTGTAGGATTTTAAATGCAAATGCTTGTTCTCACTGTGGCTGCTAGAATAGGAAGGAATACAGAGTAGGCAAAAAGAACAGGGAGGAATAATGTATATTCAGAATGTCTGTTTATCAAGAGACTTGCATTGTCTCATTTAATTTTTACTGCAGCTCAAGTAAGTAAAAATTGATAGCACTTTAGAGGGAGAAAGCTGACTTAGACAAGTTTTTTTTTAAAGATTTATTTATTTATGCATACAAGAGTGGGGTACAGGCCAGAGGCATGGGGGGGTGCGGGGTGGGGGAAAGCAGGGAAAGTGAGAGGATTCACCAGAGATAGCAGAGATAGAGTGGAACAGAACAGGCAGATTGACCGAAGTACCCTGCTGAGGGGAGCAGCAGGTGAGTCAGGAGAGGTCTGCTGCACCATGTGTGTTACTCCCTGGCCTGCAGGGAACCAAACTCAGAGGCTGCTGACAGCTTCATAGGTTGCAACTTAACCCCTTGCGCCACCAGGGAGGCCCTGACTTAGAAAAGTTAAGGAATTTGCCAACTGAAATTTTGTGTGCTGGCTTTCAAATCAAGGTCTGTTAACAAGTTTAGAACAGAAACTTCCTGATAAGAAGGCATCTCCTTGGAGATCTGTCCTACTATATAGTAGAGTTGGTATATAGTAGATGTTCAATCAATATACATTGTTAAAAAGAATGAATGGGCCCAAAATAGTCATTTGTGCTAGCCCCAAGACTTAATACCTAACCAATTATGTTTTCAAGCCCCGACTCCTACCCCTGCAATTTCAGTCTCCCCCAAGAATATAGTCCTATCTGTAGTCCTTTTGGTCAGCTCCAATCTTTTCCACTCCCCAAGAAAAATGAGGTTATCTGGCAAGAGACCTTTATTTTCCCATAAACTTGAAATAATTCTCTCTCCTGTTATCATGACTTCTGTCCAAACCTTTCTTTTTTTTTTTTTTTAAACCTTTCTTTTGAGTAGCTTTTCAGCCTGTCTTCTTGCTAGATGGGATGCTGCCAGATTTATGCATCCTTTCGTAAAATCATTTAAATCTTCAAAATAGGTTGGATTTTTGTTATTTAACAACAGTGAATTAATGTCACCTGTTTTGTGCCCCAGTAAATCTTACTCAGTGCTGTTTGAATTGACTTAATTCCAATCCAGGTTATTTCAATAAAATCAAGCCCAGCAACCCTAAAGTACAAGAACCTTACCCTTCTATACCACTTTACATAAAATTTCAGTTGCCTTGTTTAAAACCACTTGTTTTTTTACTAAACCCCCCACACAAATACTTCCATCAAAACGTGCTAGCTCTACCAGGTCTGTAATTGCTTATGCAGTAGTTGGGTCATAAGTAGCACTTGTGGTTGAGGGGGTGATTTCCCCTTCCCCTTAGGGTCTTCTAGGTTGGCAAAACGTCAAATTAGCATCAGATGTATAGACAAGAGGAAAGAGTTTAATAATAACATGTATAAATCCGGTATGTGAGAAGCAGCCCAGTAAAACTGAGTAACAACCTAAAACGGCTTAAGTCATCTCTATAAATAACTTCCCATAAAGACAAAAGATGTTGGGCAGGTGGAAGGAGGCGGTCAGTTAGAGAGAGTGCCAGGAAAGACATATTAAACAAAGGCACATCTGTTATGCAGATTTAAGTGCTTCCCTCTCCTTATGTAAGAATTAGTTTTAATTTTCCCCTTAAGAGTTAAAAACATTAGGTCTTCCCTTACTAAGGTAGGCATTTTTTTAAGACATGAAATGCCCCATCAAAATGTTAACCTCCACTCAGTTTTCAGAGCCCCTCCTATGAAATCATCCTTATGCCAAAGACAAAATTTGGGGATACAGATATTTTACCCCTACACGCCTGCTACATGCAATTGCTATGTCTTCTTATTTTTGTCTCTTCTCCTGGATTCTGAGCTCCTAAAATCTGGATGTCTTATTTACCTTTCACTGCAAGCAAGAATTTTTTCCTGTAAGGGTAGTTCTAATGAGAATGTTGGTTTTTGCTCATGGCTTGGGCAATTCATGGATACAGGATAATTTGTATTTGTAAGTGTACATTTTCACCACGTTTTTTGAATTCTCTGTTGAGTTCACGTCCACCCTGTATAAAGTTAACAGCTCCAATATACCAAGAACACCGATTCCGAATCCCTAAATCCAACGTCAATGGGAAAAACCCAAAGTCATCTTTAAGAACGACGCGAGGAGGAGCTGAAATCTTCTGACCTCTGTCGGCCACCGTTGCGGACCGTGTCGGCTCCCTCCCGGCCTGCGCCTGCGCAGAGCTTGCGCACTTTCCATTTCTCCTTCAGGGTGGAAGGACGTCCCTGCGGAGGTTAGTTGAGTCGCCTTTGCTTTCCTCTTTGGGGGGACCCCGTAACCGCCGCCCCCCAGCGCTGCTTCTCTGTCAGCTTCGGAGTCTCGTGGTGAGCCCGCACCTCTGCGGTAGGCGCGCCCCGGACGCCGGCCCGCGTCTCCGCCCCCCCCCCGCACCCCCCGGCTGACCCGCGGCGCGGGCCCCTCGGGAGCCGCGGGGTGGGGGTGGGGGCCTTGGGGCTCCCGGCCGGACGTGCGGGCGGCCAGCGGGGGTCGAGTCCCCGCCGCGGTTTTCCTTCAGTCGGTGTGACCTTCCTGCGGGGTCATTTGGCGCGCGGCCCTCAGTGCGCCCACCTGTGCGCCGGAAGCCGCCTCCTCGCTGCGGGGCGTCGGCGTCAGCCTGGTGCCCGCGGCGGGGCCGTCCGCGCCGGGGGCTGTGGGCGTTGGCGGGGGAGTCGGGGGCGAGGAGCGGGGTGAGAGGGCGGCCTGTGGCCTCCCGCCGCGCGCCCACCACCCAGCTCTCCGCCCCGCCCCGCCCTTGGCCTAGGCCGCGGCGGGCGCAGGTGAGCTCTCCAGGCAGCTGCGGGGTCCCCATCTGAGCTGTGACCCTTTCTTTACAGAGTGACCTTGGAAAAGCTCCGTAAGCTTCATGTGCTTCAGTTGTTTTCATCTATAAAACGTTTAAAATTTCTAAAGTGTAAAATTTCTCATGTGTATAAAACCCTCTTGATGAGTCGGTAGTAAGGTTGTGGAAGAGTGTATAAACGCCTTTGCACTTGTGAGTCTAGACTCACAATTTTTCGTTCCTTTTCTTGGGAGAGATTCCTGCTTGTGGTTTATGTTTGCTGGTTATGTGTGTGCCATTGTTATTTGGCTTGTTTAAGGTTGTCCTTCAGCTTGTGGGGGGGTGGGGAAGGATGAAGCCATTAAACACCTTAGATTGTAATATATTTTTGTTTTTGAAATGCCATTATTTTACATCTTTGCCGGTGTTTTAACAGTGTAGGATTTCTCCCTTTCCACCAGAGCACCCATAGCCCATTGAAACACCTTACATTTGGGGAGGAGTCCGTTAACTATTCCCTTTGTGTAGCTTTAATTTCTTAGATGCATTATGAATAAAAGTTTATGTTGTTGTGTGCTAAGAGTTTTTTCTTTTATCTGTCAAAGGAGAATAACCACCATGAGTTCCAGTGCTTTGTCCAAACCTCAGATGCGAGGCCTTCTGGCCAAGCGTCTTCGAGTTCATATTGTTGGAGCATTTGTTGTATCCCTGGGAGTTGCAGCTCTCTATAAGGTATGTATGTTTTATTTTTTACTTTGTGCTTAATGTCTAACAATGTGAGTTTAAAAATTTTAAATGTGCATTGTGTAGTTAATTTTTGTAAACTTAAAGGGGCTCCCTTTTTACCCTTCCTCTACTCATTTCAGGGTGACAGCAACATACCTCATTCCTCACATAGCTTGCCCTCCATCTTTAAATAAACTTTTATTAGTTTGCTAGAGTTGCTGTGACCGCATCACTAACTGGGTGGCCTAAAGAACACATTTTCTCACTGTTCTGGGGGCTAGAAACCTAAGATGAAGGTGTAGGCAGGGTTGATTGTATTGTAAGGCCATTCTCTTTGCCTTGTAGATGGTGATTAAGTGCTCATCTTTGAGAGTCCATCCTCAGGACTTTAAATTCCCGCTTACTAGGATGCTAATCACTGGATATTGACACATTCTAAGGTCTACTCACATTTTGTATATCTAGCGTTTGTATATCTAGCGTTTCCATTTTTTATATGTTTTAAAATCTTAATCTAGTAAATCTGCTATAATTTTCAGTTTTTTTCTGTTGAATTGGCTATACTTTTCGGTTTGTTGACTACGTGACTGGAAATCAACCTCTTTGCTGGGGTTTGTTGGTTCTTAAAAATTTTTGTTTTTCGGGCCACCCCTGGTGGGAGTTTAAAACAGATTCTGCAGTGCCGATTCGATCCCTGGCCGCCGGCGAGGGTCCCACACAGTGCGCAAGGACCTCTCCTGCTGCGCCCACTGCTCCCCTCAGCAGTGTATTTCTTTGTCAGTCTGCCTGTTCTGTTCCCTTCTCTGGCTCTGGTGAATTCTCTCACCCTCCCGCGCTTCTGACTGTACCCAGTGCTTGTATAAATAAATCTTTAAAAAAAAATTTTTTTTTTTTTTTTTTTGTTGTTGTAGGCCATCTCTGTGCCAAGGATCAACTTTATGTATAAACTTAAAGGTCTTTTGCCAGGGGTTGTGTGGCCATTGTCTTAATTTGTGAATGCAGTTGCTTTTGAATATCCTGTCTTTAATGGCTGGCTCTCAAAGAAGGGAAGAGAGTGAAATGGATAGAGGAAACAAGGACTTCATCCATTGGACCTCACATGATAGATGCTTGCAATAATAATGGCCAACAGCCTGTTTGTCTGCCAAAAAGCAGCAGTCAGCTGTCAGCAAATATCCCTGGTCATTCTTTGCCCTCTTTAGCTTCTACATGCTGCGTACAAGCTGCTGTTAAAACACATGCGCAGCTGCTTGTCTTGGGGATGGAGACTGGGTTTGCTAAGAACTGAAAGTGACCAAAGTTAACCTGCCCACAATTACCTTCCAAGCCTTCTGGAAGATGTAAGCTTTCAATAGTTTATTCTGCTTGCGCAGTTGTTGTCTAGGGTCTCAGTGGGGAGATAGATTCCTGGTGCTTCCTGTTCCGTGATTTTTCCAGGAATCCTCTTTATTTTGTATTTATCAAGTCTCTGTTATAAATAACTTCAAAATGTTTCCATAATTCATGTTTATCACCATGTATCATAATAGCCTTTGAGAGAATTAGAGCTTTGCTTTTTAACTGTTTTTTAGTTTAGTACCTGTGTTTCACTAGACTGTGAGCCTCATTAGAGTAGGTGCCATTACAAGTAGATCTGTAATTCAGTACAGTGTGAAACAATTAGAGAATATTGCAAGATAGAATATAAGTGCAAGTGAGAGGTTTTTTTTTTGGTTTGGGTAGGTGGTGATGATATTGAGGGTCAGTGGGGGGGTCACAGTTTTTTTGGTAGAGAAGTTATGGTGAACTTTGAGCACCAGAAAGATGGTGTTGGGAACAGCTTGAGCAAAAGCACTAAAGAGGCCTGCGTTTTTGGTACCCTTGGAAGAGAAGAACACAAAAAGTAAACTCATTGAGCTCTTTCCTGCCTAACACATTGTTGGCATGAAATAAATACAGAGATGGGGCCAAGGAGAAAAATATAGGGAACTTATTTTTTAACTCTACCTTTATTATCACTATCAAAGTTCAGACCTTTGTATATTGTCACTTTTATTTTTTTTTTTAAATATTTATTTATACAAGCACTGGGTACAGTCAGAAGCACATGAGGGTGAGAGAATTCGCCAGAGCCAGAGCGGGGAGCAGAGCAGGCAGAAGGACCCGAAATACACTGCTGAGGGGAGCAGCGGGCGGCCAGAGAGGTCTGCGTGTCATGTGGGACCCTCCTCTGGTGGCCGGGGAGCAGCTGGGGATCTAACCAGCGCTGCAGAGGCTGCGGGCAGCTTCGCAACCCAGCGCTCAACCGCTGCGCCACCAGGGAGGCCCGGATTGTCACTTTTAAATGTTAGCTTCTAGAATAGCTCATCATTCTTCCCCCATACCCACTGTCTAGTGGCTTTCAAAATTTTTGACCCATAGTAAGAAATACATTAAGTACTGACTGCAACATCCTAAATAGGTTTCACTACCTACCAGTGGGGTATGGGTGACTTGCTGAAACTGTCTTAGAAAGATTCTAATGTTAGCAGGTGACCCGAGGCAACCCTGGGATCCCCAAACTTGCACAATCTTAATGGGGTCTGGACATCCGTGTGCATGCAAAGCATTCTCATAGTGTAAAATAATTGTAATAGAATTGGTGTGCATAGAGAGAAGAAATGATAAGAGGTTTCCTAGTAAAAACACCCAAAGTTCCCCATCATGGGTAAATGCCCAGTCACCAGTGCCTAGAGGAGGGCGTCTGAGGTTCAAAAGCTTGCCAGGAGTTAAAGCATCTCTGGCAGGGAATTATAGGAAGGCAGCCAGGCAAGTCTGGGATGAAAGGATCAAATTCAAAGTAAAAATCAAGATAACAGCAACCATTGTCAGCTTCCCCATGTGTATCTTTCAGATCTCTCTACATGTCTGTCTTCCACGTGTCTTTTCCAGGTCCTCCAAATCCTAGGTGCAGGGCCAAAGTGGAGAAGCTAGCTCCATGTGTGCCTCCAGAGTCCACCTGCCTTCCCTGTTATGTAGCTTTGCCTGGCCACTCGGTTCTGTCCCCTACTGCCCAGTAGTTCTGGCCCAGGCCAGCTGAATGTAAACGGGGATGAGCACGGTATACAGCTCCTCTTAAGGAGGTGCCTCTTACAGTTAGACATTTTCTGATTTGCCCTTTGCCTGCCCTTCCTTATTCCTCTCATACCCGATACACTCAACTCTCTAGCCCTTCACCCTTTATAATTTGTCACCCATTTCTGCTTTTTGCCATACTTCATGCACAACAGGAGCATCATTTCTTAGTCTGGGAAATTCTTGTTCATCCTTTCAGGTCCCTGTACGCAAAAGTTTTGTGTGAAATCTTTGTTCACTTGGATGGCTTTTATTATTGGGTCTTCCGAGTTTTTATCACATAGTGCCAGACTGATTGAGAGGAATGACACGTACTTTTAGATATTCTTTCTTTCAAGTTCTGTCTCCAACTAAATGAAGAACAGGGACCATGCCAGACCTATGTCAATGACCACGTTAGTTTATTCTGAAAAATTTTTAAAACTTGATTAGTTGGAATGCTGGTGTAGTTGTTAGTTGATTGGAAGGACGTTTCCCAAAGCATTGAGGAATCCAGAATCTTACTAGATTTAGAGTGTGTAAACTTTTTGGTCTGTTAGAAGATGCTCACCTTCATTTTCCCAGATCAGTTAGTATTGAGTACTTCTAAAGATTGAATCTTTTTTTTTTGTTGCTAGTTTTGTCATAATTTCAGTCATTTTGTTTTTTTACATAAAGTAGCCATCCATTAAATCGTTTTCTTAAGGTAATGTAAGCCTAAATTATGAATATGACTTAGAATTTAAGAGGCAAATTAATAATGCTTAACTGCAATGGAATTTTCCTCGATGTTCACCAATATAGGCTGGCCCTGAACTAAAACTTCATGTATTTGCTGTCTATATAAGGCCTCTGGTAGAGATTATTTTATGACTTTCAAGTTTCTCCTGATCTAGTGGACTTAAATTGATGTAATTTATTTTTTTTTTGCTGAAGTTCAGATTTTTCAGGCTCAAAAAAACTCCCAAGTATATCAGACAACAAAATATTTTGAGTAGGTTATAGAATAAAATTACTTTTGCTTCTTGAGTTACTGAGCTTACTACTTTATTTCTCTCTGCCTTCCCATATTTTTAGAACAAATATTTTTGTTCTGGAAAATGTCCAGTTGCCTTATGTTTAATGGACCCCAGCAAACCTCAGTTCAGAGGCTTTTTACTGGGGCTCCTGCCACTTGGTCTTACTGTAGTAAGCTGGGAATTCAGATAGGTGATACACTAAGACTAGCCAGTTAGAGAGCCATTGCTTGTTACTCCAAGTATCATGTTTCCCTATATTTCTGTAATACCTAAACTGATGTGGACTCACACCTGGACTTTTTCCTGTTTTTTTTTTTTTTTAATGATCAATAGGATTTAAATTTGTCTTATAATTCATGTCTTGAAATCCATTAGTCATTGTTTTGTGGAGAGAAAACTCTTTGCCATGCTATCTGCCTTGGTTTAAATCCTGATTTAATTGTGAACAAGTGTTTCTTCCTAGACTTGATAAGGTTACTTTCCTCGAGTGTAAAACAGGTCAGTGTCTATTCTAAGGGCTTAAGTGATGAGTAGTGTAAATCATCCAGAACTCTTCTTGCTAGAAAGCTTTTGGTGAGCTTAAAGGCAGGAGATTTCTGAATCAGTCTCAGAGTCCCTTGAAAGTAATATTCTAACTTAAATTGAACCAGAATATTTTAGCATGTCTCAATTGTGGGGATAATTAAGCTAAAACCTTTTAACTTTCTGGATATCTTTCTTTGTCTTTTGCCAGTCTTCATGGGCCCAACTCAAACACAAGAGGATTGTCTATCCATAGGCAAGGACCAGCCCTCTTGCTATAGTTTGTTCAAGGCTACTGTTTTTTTTCCTTGCTATGTTTACTTCTCCACCCTTTGTGTTAAAAAATGTACCTCGTGTTTAGTTCAAGGTGAATATAAATGTAATGTGATTTAACCTTTAGATAGTTTCTAATTACCTAAAAAATTAATGGTATGTTACTTTTTAGTTTGCTGTGGCTGAACCAAGAAAGAAGGCATATGCGGATTTCTACAGAAATTATGATTCCATGAAAGATTTTGAGGAGATGAGGAAGGCTGGGATCTTTCAGAGTGCAAAGTGATCTTGAACCATAAAGGTAATGATTAGCTGGAGTGACTGTTTCACAGATGTACTTAATTGTGGTAAAACACACACAGGATTTATTGTCTTAAATAACCTTATAAATGTATGGTGCAGTCTTTAGTACATTCACATCATTATTGCTACCAATCTCCAAAATTTTTTTTATCTTGCGAAACTGAAACTATTTCCACTTAAACAACTTCCTATCCCCTTTTGTTCCAGTCTACTGTCATTCTGCTTTCAGTGTATGAATTTGACTGCCTGTGTGCCTCCTTTTTGTGACTGGTTTATTTCACTTAATGTCCTCAAGGCTAATCAGTTATACCATATGTCAGTTTCTTCTATAAGGCTAAATCCATTTTATGTGTGATACTACATTATTCATTAATGAACACTTGGATTGTTTCCATCTTTTGATTATTGTGAATATTGCTGTTACAGTGTGTGCAGTTACCTTTTGAAGACCCTGCTTTCATTTCAATACTTACATACTCAGAATCGTACTCGGCATCATAGTTGCTGGGTCCTATTCTGTTTTTAATTTTTTTTTTTTTTAAACAGGCATGTATTTTCATTTATTTATTTGTTTGTTTGTTTGTTTGTTTATCCAAGCACTGGGTACAGTCAGAAACGCGGGAGGGTGAGAGAATTCACCAGAGCCAGAGCAGGGAGCAGAGCAGGCAGAAGGACCGAAGTACACTGCTGAGGGGAGCAGCGGGCGGCAGGAGAGGTCTGCGCGCCATGTGGGACCCTCCTCCGGTGGCTCGGGAGCAGCTGGGGATCGAACCGGTGCCGCAGAGGCTGCGGGCAGCTTCGCAACCCAGCGCTCAACTGCTGCGCCACCGGGGAGGCCCTCTGTTTTTAATTTTAAGGAACACACCATACTTTTTCCACAGCAGTTGGGTCATTTTACACTCCACCAATGCATAGGGGTTCTAATTTCCCCATCAACATTTCTTTTTTGATGGGAGCAATCTACATGGGTATGAGGTTATATTTTGGTTTTTATTTAAATTTCCCTAATGGTTAATGATAGTCTTTTCTCCTGCTCGTTGGCTATTTATATATTCTCTGGAGAAATGTCTGTTTCAAGCCTTTTAGTGCATTTTTTTTTTTTAAAAGATTTACTTATGCATACAAGAGCTGTGATACAGGCCAGAGATTTGCGGGGCGGGGTGGGGGGCAGGGGAGGAAGACGGTGAGAGGACTGACCAGAGACAGAGTGGGGAACAGAATAGGCAGACTGACTGAAATACACTGCTGAGGGGAGCAGCGGGCAAGACAGAGGTCTGCTGCACCATATGGGTTTCTCTCTGGCCGGCTGGGGATCGAACTCATGCTGCAGAGGCTGCAGATTGTGTCACAGTGCGGTGCTTATTAATCCCTTGTGGCACCAGGGAGGCCCCTTCAGTGCATTTTAAATCAAACTGCTTGTTTTTGTTTTAGTTCTATTAATGCCTATCAGACATAATTTGCAATTTTCCCCCCATTTTATAAATTTCTTTCTCTGTTGAGTCTCTCCTTTGGTGCATAGACTTCTGTAGTTTTCATGGGAGGCTAAATTTATGTAAGGGAAAAAACAAGCTTTTGAGGTCATCTAAAAAAAATGATTGCCAAATCTATGTCATGAATCTTTCCATGCTTCTAAGAATTTTACAGTTTTCAAAGTTTAAGGTTTTGGAGTTGATTTTTGGAATGATATAAGGGAATGGTTAGTATCCATGCAAAAGACTGTCCTTCATGGACGGTCTCTGGGCACCTTTGTTGATCATCATCATTGGACTGTATATGCCAGAGTTTGGTTTGGGACTATATTGCTCTGATTTATTTTTCTGTCTTTATGACAGTACTAGATTAGTATAGCTTTATAGAAAGTTTTGAAATCAGGAAGTATGAATCTTCCTGTTTCATCTTTTTGGAGATTTAGTTCAGGGTCCCTTGGTATGCCATTTGAATACTAGGATGCATATTCTTCTTTCTTAAAGAACATTGGGATTTAAAAAAGAAAAAGATTTATTTTTATTTATGCATACAAGAACTGTGGTGTAGGCCAGGGCCGCAGGGGTGAGAGGATTCGCCAGAGACAGAGTGGGGAGCAGAACAGGCAGATTTACTGAAATACACTGCTGAAGGGAGTAGCAGGCGTGACAGGAGAAGTCTGCTGTACCATGTGGGTTAGCTCCCTGGCTGGGGATCAAACTCATGCCACAGTGGCTGGTGATAGCTTAATAGAGCTTACTTTAACCCCTGAGCCACCAGAGAGGCCCTGACATTGGAATTTTTATAAGGATTGTGTTGGCATAGGGGAAATCATCCCATTCCCCTCTGGGTTTTCCTAGACTGGTAAATAATCAAGTATCAGATTAGGGAGAAACAAAAAAGTTTAGTAATAACATGTACAGCTCCTGTATACATGGGGGAGAGCTGGTAAGACTAACTCACCCATTTGGCTTCAGTAAGTTACTTAGAACAAGGGATGTTGGCTGAAAGGAGATCATTTGTGGGAGGTTACCAGCTAATACATTAAAGGCAGGCATGAATATTGTGCCTGTTTTGATAAGAGTTAAGACTAGGTCTTTCCAAAATTGTGAGTGAGACTCGTTCAGGGACAGATTTTCCTTTACACATGAAAGTGTCTCTTGCAAAGAAAACCTTCATTCAGCAGACAGAGCTTGGCAAAACTGATTTTTGGAAAGATAAACATGCAGTTTGCAGCAACGTGGATGGAGCTAGAAGGGATCATGCTCAGCAAAATAAGCCAGAAAGAAAAAGAAAAATACCAGATGGTCTCACTCATAGCAGGAATTTAGAAAACTTAAATAAGGGACCAGAAAAAAGACTAATCAATGCAAAGTAATAATCAAAATCAACAAGCAGCTATAAACCAGAGACACGATGTGGGGGTGGGGAGATTAGGGAAGGGCGGGGAGAGGAAGAACTAGAGTCAAAATAAGGGGGGGGGGTGCAGTTGTATGGGGAATATAACCAAAATGAAAATGCATACATTGTACAAAGATGAAAAATGATGTAAGAATTATATACAATAAAATATTTTTTAAAAATGAAATAGAACAGAATAAAAAGAAAAAAGAGAGGCATTATTGTACCAAAAAAAAAACAAAAAAACAAAAAAAAACCTGATTTTTTTGGGGTGGAAGATTTTTGCTCTCCAATTGCATTATAATGTAGGTAACTTGTGTAGTATGATCTTAACAATGTAAGTATTTCAGCCTAGGTATTTGTCTTAAATTATTTGAGCAGTGTTTTGTAGTTTTCAGTATACAAGTCTTTTCCCTTCTTGGTTCATTAAATAACATTCTTTTTGAAACTCTTCCATTGGAATTTTCTTTTCTGCATGGAAACTGATTTTAATGTGTTGATTTGTATCTTACAACTTTACCAAAGTAGTATACTGTTTTTGTGTGGAATCATTAGTTTTCTACATAAAAGATCATGTCATTTGCAAACAGGTAGTTTTACATCTTCCTTTCCAAATTGGATGGCTTTTCTTTTTTCTTGAATAATTGCTCTGGCTAGGACTTCTTGATCTAAGGAAAAACTTTTAGTCATTCACTGCTAAGTGTATATAACCTGTGAACTTTTTGTATTTGGCCTTCATGTAGAGGCAGTTACCTCCAGTGCCTGATTTTGTTGAGTGTTTTTAAAATCATGAAAAGATGTTTTCTGTGTCAGTTAAGGTGATCATGTGGTTTTGTTGGTCCTCCTGTGAGGCACTTTTGTATGTTGAAACATTTTGTGGTGCAGGAATACATTTCACTTGGTCATGGTTATATTACTTTTAATGAGCTGACGAATTCTGCTTAGTAGTATTTGAGGATTTTGGTTTCTGGATTGGTTTTTTTACTTCTGAAATTGATTACTAGTTTGATTTTATTGTCATTCGAAAAGATATTTTATATGATTTCAGTATCTTTTAAGTCTTGTTTTACAGCCTCTAACGTATGGTCTTCCCTGGATAATGCTTCATGTGTACTTGAGAAAAATGTGTATTCTGTTCCGTAGACTACTCTGTCTTGGGTGGAATTGGTCTGTAGTGTCGTTCAAGTCACAGTAATCCTATTTACAGCTGTCTATTTCTCCCTTAAATTCTGTTAGTGTTTGCTTCATATTTGTACACTCAGAAGCGTATATAAATTTATATATGCAAATGTTTTATTTTCCTGGTTAATTGCCCTTTTATCTTTATACATTGTTAATCTGAGTTTTGTAACATTTTTTGACTTATACTTTTTTGTCTGTTAATAGTGTAGCCATCCTTGCTCTCTTGTGAGTGTATTAGTGTGGAATAACTTACATTCTTTTACTTTCAAACTCTGTGCTCTTAGTCTTAGGTGAATCTCTTCCAGACAGCATAGGATCCTGTTTTGTATCCATTTAAGGTTTATCAGTTATTATGGTATGTCAGTTTCTAAAGATGTGGGGAGGAGACTCAGGGATAATTCTGAAAGTGAGTAACTTTTGCCTAACAAGATTTAATTGTACAACATTCCATTTTTGTAATCGTTTATCTGAACTGTAGATAAAAACATGCTGTACGTAGCCATGGTATTAAAATAGTAGGAAAAAATGGGATTTTATTTCCAGTGGTTGAATTGATATGGTATTAACTTTCATATCATAGACTTGTACTACATGCAAAGTAACATGAAGAAATTATATAAGGAAAAAATAAGATTATTTAATGAGTTCTTTAGTTATATTGCACAAAAGAACAGTATGTGGATATGAGAACATAATGGGGGGCGGGGTGGACTTGAAGAAAAAGCAGGGTTTAGTAAATGAAAGCAAAAAGGAAGTTAGGGTGTGGTAGCCTCCAAATAGGAAAGAGGATGGTGAGGTAGTTAGGGAACTTGGCTCCTCCTGGTGAATAAACTGGGCTGCGCTAGTGGGAATAAACCTGGGTGATGTCAAGGATGTTGTGGTATTAGGAGGCCATGTCATTAACACAATCACTCTGTCTTTCTTCACAGGATTTCTTTGGCTTGATTTCCATGGAAGTTTGTCACTGACATGTGCTCCTGAA